ATCTGCCATTATATAGTCAAGCTAAAGAGACTTCTCCATATTCAAGATGAACTCCCCAAGTATTTATATAATCCTCTCAAATATAATATGTTTAAGAGATCAAAAATGCAAAAGGCAAACTAGTTTCACTGCCCTGAAGGATGTGGTTTTAAACCACATTTAAAATTTACACTATTTAAAATTTTATAACTTATGGACATAAATCATACCTTTTTTTTCCATTGAAACATGCATATATTGAATGTTTTATTATCAATGATAAATAGTTCAATATATACAACCTAAAGGGTGGGCTGCATTGCCCATTTCAAACCTGTATACACTGGCAATTTTTCTTTATTCCTTCTCATAGCTACATATTCCAAAGATTATTTTATTATATACAAATATAGGACTTTACATTGGAAAATATAAAATGTACACTATGACAAAGAATACATCACGAAGTTTAGTTCTGGGTACTCACTACGAAGATACTATAAAACCGAACCCATTGCCGTCCACTTGATTCTGACTCATAGCGACCCTATAGGACAGAGTACAACTGCCCCATAGGGTTTTCAAGGAGTGGCTAGTGGATTCAAACTGCCGACCTTTTAGTTAGCAGTTGAACTCTTAATCACTGAGCCACCAGGGTTTCTATGAAGATACTATACCTGCCTTTAATGATTAAGTTTTCTATATTTAGTCATTCATTAAATATTCTTTACCACTCACCATGTACCATACATTGTGTTAAGTGTTGGGCACAATGATAAATAAGTAAAATCACAGTTTCATTAAAAAGAATCCTCTTGTGATACATGATTGCAATCATAAGCACATCTTATCCAAAATGTAGCAAAAATATAACTTATTTAGTCAGTTTTTAAGTAATTTGATAACATTATCCCAAGGGAATCATTTTTAATGGAACTGATTTTACTTGTTTATCACTGCATCTTTGAAAATAAACATGTGAGGCAGTTAATAAAAACAAAAACCAAACCCGTTACCGCAGAGTCAATTCCGACTCACAGCGACCCTATAGCACAAAGCAGAGCTGCCCCATAGGGTTTCCAAGGAGTGGCTGGTGGATTCGAACGGCTGACCTTCTGAGTAGCAGTATGAACTCTTACGCACTATGCCACCAGGGCTCCAATAAAAAGAAAATAGCATACTATTAAGAAAATATAAACTTTTAAAAGGGTGAAAGATAATTAAAACAAATATACCAAAATAAGTCTCAGTGCAGGTAGTCTGGTTAAACATAAAACGCAGAACTAAACTTTTCGGCAAAGTAGTTCTTATAACTAAACTCAGCAAAATGTGTTGTATGAAATATTATATAGTCTGTAGGGTCACTACGAGTTGGGATCAACTCGACAGCAATTTGTTTTTGGTTTTTGGTTAGAGGAAAAGGCTTTAGAAAATGGACAATGTCCTCAACAATTAGTTCACAATATAGAGTAAGATAAGATGGATACAATTTCAATATGATACTTTCTAATTTGAATTTTTATAAATATTAGTTATCTTATGCCTGGCAATACCATATATCATTTTTGTTGTTGTTAAGTGCCGTTGAGTTGGTTCTGACTCGTAGCGATCCTATGTACAACAGAAGGAAACACTGCTGGCTCCTGTGCCATCCTCACAATTGTTGTGCTTGAGCCCATTGTTACAGCCACTGTGTCAATCCAGTCAATCCATCTCATTGGAGGGCTTTCTCTTTTCCCTGACCCTCTACTTTACCAAGCGTAATGTCCTTCTCCAGGGCCTGGTCCCTCCTGATAACACGTCCGAAGTATGTGAGACAAAGTCTCACTATTCTTGCTTCTAAGGAGCATTCTGGCTGTACTTCTTCCAACACAGATTTGATCGTTCTTATGGAAGTTCGTGATATATTCAGTATGTTATATGTTGTTGTTAGGTGCAGTCAAGTCCATTCTGACTCATAGCAAACCTATGTATAACAGAAGGAAACACTGCCCAGTCCTGTGTGATCCTCACAGTCGTTGCTATGTTTGAGCCTATTGTTGCAGCCACTGTGTCAATCCATCTCCTTTAGGGTCTTTCTCTTTTTCGCTGACCCTCTACTTTACCAAGCATGATGTTCTTCTCTAGAGACTGGTCCCTCCTGATAACATGTCCAAAGTGTGCCATTTTAACAATAAAAACACTGTATAAACAACAGCTTTCTTAGCCTAAGCCATGTATACTGGTTTCAAGCAAAATGTTGGGAATGATCAGCTATCACAAAAAATTTAACTAGGTATATGACTAACTTTCATTATAATAGGAAAATTTTGAAAATCACAATATAATTTCTGGCAATATAATCATTATCACAAGAGATCTCCATGTGTACAAACAAGATGTAAATTGATAACTCAATTTTACCTTAAGTATGCAGGAAAAAAACCCTACTTTTTCCCCTGATACCAGAATGCACTAATAGGGGAGGGGCAAACATCTCACCTTAAGAAATTATTTTAAATGAAAAATTGCTTCAGTTTAAGATCAATAATGTCACCTTACATCTGAATATGAATTAATAGATTATAAATTATGCTTGTGTATATTTGTATACTCCATATAATAATATTTTAAAATAGGAACAACAATTACTATTACTGCATTTCACAGACGAGGAGGTAGAACCAAAGACATGGAATCATTTGGCAATGACCCTACAGTTGGTGAATAACAGGGTTAACAGGACATATTTCTTCTGGATCCTTAGCAATGAATGCATATACAAAAACATTTTACAGGCCTATTGTGTGAACTAAAAATTTAGCATAAGAAATAATAGTTGTCTGTTGTTACTGTTGTTGTTGTTAGGTGCCATCAAGTTGGTTCCGACTCACAGTGACCCTATGTACAACAGAAGGAAACATCGCCCAGTCCTGCGCCATCCTCACAATTGTTGCTATGCTTGAACCCATCCTGGGAGCCACTGTGTCAATCTGTCTCATTAAGGGTCTTCCCCTTTTTCACTGACCCTCTAGTTTACCAAGCATGATGTCCTTCTTCAGGGACTGGTCCCTCTTGATAACATGACGAAAGTACGTGAGAGGAAATCTTGCCATCCTCGCTTCTAAGGAGCATTCTAGCTGTCCTTCTTCCAAGACAGATTTGTTCATTCTTGTGGCAGTCCATGGTATATTCAATATTCTTAGCCAACACCATGATTCAAAGGCATCAATTCTTCTTCAGTCTTTCTTATTCACTGTCCAGCTTTCATATGCATATGAGGTGATTGAAAATACCATGGCTTGAATTAGGCACACCTTAGTCCTCAAGGTGACATCTTTGCTCTAACATAAATTAATTAAAAACATTTGAATTTATATTTGAAAACTAGATTTTATGAATGATATATGGAAAACATTTATATTCAAAGATATTATATTCTGATACACTCCAAAATATATTCTATATGGCTATTTAAGTTCCTGAATATTTAAAGGACACATAAAATACTCGTTCTTAAATACTTAAGAACCCTCTTTATCTAAGAGTATATGCTAGGAAGAGTGAACACTATATCATTTTTCAGATCAGTGACATTTGACAACCATTCAAATCTAACTCAGTGACAATTTTCAATGATGTGATGAAGTGAATATCTGGATGTAGCTGACATTTGAATTTTCACCTTAGGGTTTTTAAATACTCACTTTGGGTGTGTGGTTTAATAATGTATAGCAATGTTCTTATTTGCTTTCTACTATCTCACACTGTATCTGAAGTTACTTAGTAACAATCTGCTGCCTTGTCATAGACAATTGATGAGAGTGGTGTACTGAACATTACTATGAGATCTACAATTTTTGTCAGCTAATATTAAATCGTATTTCTGTAAAGTCTAGGCTATTTATCCAGGGTGAATTTTAACACTACATTTTTTTTAAGAATCTTTAAAGTAATAACGGAATGCATTCTATGACTTCAAAAAGGTCTTCAAATTCACTAGATCTATCTATACCTATCTATCTATCTGGAAGAATTGTGATGGAAGGAGAGGATGCAACTAGGATCAATCAATCAAGGAAAGGAAAACAGCAATTATAACACATCTGGAGGGCAGTTGAACATGCCACAGACAGAAAAAAGTCCCTACCAGATTTCTAATGACTGAATTCCTTTACCATTATTTAACTATGCATAAAATCATTAAAAATGCCAAAATCTGGTAGAAAAACTGATTGACTGGGACTTAGTTATAGCTAAGGAAAAACTTATCAATAAAGAAGTTCCAATGACTCATTTTATATATGTGTGTGTGTGTGTTTCAATTTGAGAGGAGAAGGGTTGGGGAATGGGAGTATTGAACTGAGAAAACCTAATGAAGGGGACTGCTCACCAACAAGGGTAGGAAAGTGTAAAGAAATGAGACAATGGAAATATGATATGGAAGACTTTTCCATCTTAGGGATCTGCTCTCTCTACCTTCAACAAGTCACAGACAAATGACATTTTTAACTTGAGCTGGTGTGTAGAAAAGCAGAACCACTTGGTAGAGCCATCGCCTGCTTCACAGGATTTTGTACTTCTTTTGTTTGCTTTTTTAAACCACAGCCAACTTTATTACAAATGAGCTTTGCTGTCAGCAAATATTTTAATAAAGGTATAACTTCCCTTAGAAGTACTTCCTTCTTAATAAGTGGTTTTCCAAAATAAATTATTGATAGCAGGGATAACTTCATACTAAAACAGCCATCAGGGAGAATGCAAATCAGAATATAAACGTGTGGTCTGAGCTCTACAGAACTAAGCTGTGAGCAGCATTCAGGGGAAGACAGCAGGTTGGACCTTAGGACAGGGAAGAGAATGGAAACTGAGGGATAAGGTCAAATTGAGAAGACAGTTTAGAACTAAGGAATGTACTGTTTTTGTTAGGTGGCTTCGAGTCACAGTGACCCCATGTGTGCAGAGTAGAACTATCCCAGAGGGTTTTCATTATTTCTTTCTTTCTTTTTTTATTTTCATGATCAATGTTTATTGTTAAATTCAAAAATATGGAACGGTTTACGAATGTGCATGTCATCCTTGTGCAGGGGCCATATTAATCTTCTCTGTATTGTTCCAATTTTAGTAAATGTGCTGCCGAAGCAAGCACCCATGGGGCTTTCTTTCAATCTTTGTGGAAGCAGATCACCAGGTCTTTCTCTCACAGAGCCACTGCATTAACTGTTTGCACCATGAGGGCTCAAGGAATGTGCTAGAACTATTGTTTAAGGCAGAGGAATAGGCCATAATGAAGGAGATGTTAAGCAGGAAGGAGTAAAACACAAGATCTTGAAACTACCCTGATTGTATCCTTTTGAAAGGAACCTTCTAATTTCCCATTAAAAACAATCCTAATATTATGTTTATATTAACACTGGAAGTTCAGTATTGGTAGGGGGTAATATTATACTTTAATCAAGCTCTTCTTTGTATGTCTAGGGGTAGAAACTGTACATCTTCTTGGAGTAGATTTTTATTTTTATGAATGGCAGTGATAAATTTGGAAGGAACAAACTTCAACAGCATCCCATAATAATGAAAATCTTCTTCAGTATGGTTTGCTTTTTCTATTCACAGAAGGAAAGGTGGATGGCAGTTTTGCAAGTTTAAATTGAGGTAGCACAGCACCTTTGCCCTGGGGAAGGGTTTAACAAGACTTTTGGTCAACTGTCTGCTCTCCTTAATCCCCCATTGTATGGGAGAATATGGAAGGAGATGTTTTGTTTAAGGAGTTAGGAGACTTCTGAGAAAAGAGAATGAGACACAACTCTTCCTCCCTGAGTTTCAAAGTCAAGAGTTGCAGTGACAAGGATACACTGTCATGAGAGGGCAAGAGTCTAGTGGAAGCCTAGGTTGGCTGGTGACCTGGGTTCAACACATCTGCCCAAGAGGGACAATGGAGACCTAGTTTGTTTCAAATGGTTTTAAAGACATTTATGGGTAAGTTTGTAGAATTGGTAGGCCTCTCATCTGATTTTCTAATACTAATTATCAATAACTTATAAGTTTGAACAAATATTCCACTGGTTCCATTGGACTAAGAAGTCTTTATCTTTTATTTATATTTTTATTCCTTAAGTACTCTTTCCTTTATTATGGTATTCTTTATTTGGTTGTGTTAATTCTTTTAATTTAATATTTTCAACAGAATATAATCCAATTTTATTGATTATTTAAAATTCAACATACATAGTTTATGCAGAATCCATTTGTTATAATTATCAGTAATAATACCTTTTTATTTTTAAATTACATCTTTTGCTTTTTTACCGTCAGTTTCCTGATTATATTTAGAAGAGTTAAGTCTATTTTATTACAAATAAATAGTTCTTAAATTTAGCTAGTGTTTTTTCTTTCTAATTCATTTATTTCTGCATTTATATTTTCTTCTATTTCCTACTTTCCTTAGAGCATTTTTTGAAACATTTTTAGTTGAAAGTTTGAATTAATTTATTTTATCTTTGCTTTCCTATTGAGATAAAAGCCAAAACAAAAATTGAACCTCTGGGTAGAGCCGAGGCCATTTCTCATGGGTTTTCCTTATGAAATGCTTTTTCCTACACAAATGTGGTTTGTACTCTTGATTTCTTCATCAACACATTTTAAATTATTTGAATTGAATTCCAAAATGTATTATTAATTTCTAGTGTTACTGAATTGTTATCAAAGACTATGCATTTTAAATATTCTTATTTTGTGTAATTAATGACATTTTCACTGCATCTTAATATATATATATATATTTTTAATTTGTGCATGTTGCAGGAACTTTTTTATATATTAATATTCTCCTATGCCTCTGGAAAGCTTGTGTAGCAGGGCAGAAATCAGAAATAACTCATAGGCTGTCCTGCCTTCCTTTCCTGGCTCTGGTTTTCCCCAGAAACATGGAAAGGAGTGTGATGTCAGCATGACCCAAAAGCAGCCAGAAACCACCTCCATTCCCTGTCAGCACTTTGATGACGTGGCATTAGCTCAAAAGAGAAGACTTCCTGGTATACCCAAAGAAATTAGGCCTTAGTCAGCATAAGGGTACTCAGTGTAGAGATTTTCAAGTCCACATTTGACCCAGAAAAAAACAGAGAACTCTCTAATACAGGTTACTCCCTGTCTCCCCCTCCAGTTCTTTAGCAGCTTTTTGTGTTAGATGACACCGCTCGTACTCCATCACCTGGGATCTCTTACCCTCTGGCTTCTGGTTGTGCTCAGGCAAACCCATCTTTAGGAAAAAATCCTGCTCATGAATATCCTCTTTGATTTAATTATGTGTTTACTCTTTATGGTAATAATCAAAGGCTAATAAATGTGTACCTTGAAATATATTCCATTTTGTTTGTGCTTTCTTTCATTACACAGTAATTGAGGCATATAAGATGATAATTTACTTTTGAATATATTTTATGTATTTTGACCTGGGCTAACTCAAGTAAAGATTATTTCATTGTGGGTTTTGGTTTCCACTTGAGAATGTTTTACTTGGTTTTCTGTTCTTTAATACAGAGACCTCCGTTTTAAGCAGTTGCTTTTTGCTCCTTAAGATCTTGGCTCAAGTAAGAGCATTGTTGAAATCTGCTTTTGCAGGTTCCATTCTCAAAGTAAACCCTTATTGTGAGCCCGTCTCCTTTAAAGATGTTGGAAGGTTTTCTATTTTCTGTTAATAATAGGGCCTTCCCAGAAAAGATCCATAAATTGCATTAATCACATTCTATTTTGTACATTCACATATGTAGAAATTGAAGCAATGATTCAAAATGCGCATAGAAATAATCATGAGCAATTAATAACCAAGGAAATCTTGAAGAAAAAGAACAAAGTGGGAAAACCTTGTCTACCATACACTGAGATGTATTGTAAAACGAGAGTAATCAAGATGTTGCAATATTTGTACAAGTATAGTCAAGTAAAATCATTGGAAGTGAATGGAAGTCCAAAAATAGATCCACATATATAAGACTACAATTTTGTGACAAATGTAGGGTTGCAGAGCAATGGAGAAGCAACTTTCTGTTTTGTCCTTTAGTTTCCAAATTGGGGGGACCTTGAATTTTAGCCCATGCCTCAAATCATATACAATAATTTATTTCAGATATAATATAGATCCAAATTCAAATAGTAAAACTTGCATATATAACAACAAAATATCTTCATGGCTTTAGGAAGGCAAACATTCCTTAAAGAAGAACAAAAATATAAAGTAAAAGTTAGAGAAACTGAACTACATCAAAATGAAGAAATTATTTTTTATCAAAAGACATCATTGAGTAAATGAAAAGATAATCCGCAGAGAAACAGATATTTGCAACACATATAACAAACAAAGGGCTCATATCTAGGATATATGAACAATTCAAAGTTTAGATGAAGGTCAAGTTATCAATATTTCTTGTCTTGAATAATGCTTTTTATTTCATATCTAAGAAAATTTGTCTATGCCAAAGTCACAGAGATTTTCTTCTATGGTTTCTCTGTTTCATTGCTAGGATTTCTTCTGGCCTTGTATTGAAAATGGTGAAATTAACAGATAGCATGTAAAGAAACCCCCACAAATTCATAATCTAAAACCAGTGTGTGAAAAAACAAAACTCTTTTCAACCAAAACATAAGCCTACATTAATCTACTATTTTATAGGAGATCCAAAACCTATTTTTTAAAGTGAGTTTTTCTTGGTGGAGGGAGTCCAATTTCATCAAATTAATCCAATCTAATTATCCTCTGAATTTTCTGCTGTTTTCTTTGCTTTTATCTTTTGAAATAAAATACAGTGAATTGGTATTTAAAAAGCCATTTTCTTCGTGTAAGTGCTCAATATTTTAAAAAAACTTTTCAAAACTTTAAATGATATTGGTCACTAAAAAGAGTCTATCAGACTTGTAATGAGACAAATGATCTATAGACTGTCTTAATCTGGCTAAAACATTTTTGAAAAAAATACAGTGGAACCATTCAGAAAGAAAATACATAACATTTCTGTTAAATAATGTTCATGGGTTAAATGTGATGATGACGCTAAGTTAATAAAATCAATTACTGCAAAGCCTCCACTTCCATATCATGAGTAATGTCCTCTTCCTGGCAGATGAGCTGAGCACTGTTTGGGGGAGTACACATTATTACTAATCTATCACCACTTATGGTTAAGATCGATTTATTTGAAGTTATCCTTGAAAAAGAGATGCAATGTAATTAGGAAGCAACTAAAAGTAGCTGGTAAATCTACTGGTCGATTTAAAAGGTTGGAGGAAATTAATAAGAAACAGGGACTGATTCTAAGGCCCTGATAGAGGGAGGTACTTCGAAGTCACTCCGAGGAGATTACAACCCATGTAACTTGCCCACTTGTTTAGGATGATTGTTTACTTCTTCAAATACCACACATGAATAAACAGAAAACAAATTTGCAGTTCTTACTTTGAGTTAAGATATTGATTTTTTTTAATAATCTAATTGTTTGGGTATGGTGTTTAATATACATTGACTTAAGTCAAACAAAGTTTGTTATCATCATGTTTGAACATGCCTATTACATAAAAAAGTATAGTGGAAACAATTAACATGCTCTGCAGCTAACCAAAAGCCTGGAGGTTTGAGTCCACCCAGAGGCACCTCAGAAAAAAGGCCTGGATATCTACTTCCAAAAAATTAGCCATTTGTTGCACAGAGAACTGCTATAAGGAACTGAACCCATTGCAGGATTTAATTTGTTCACCAAATGTGACTGCATCAAGTAAAATCTGAAAACAACACAGAGTTGCCTATCAGGACTGGGTCACGCCTTTTCCCACCCACTATGGCTGTACATGTTTTCTTCCTGTATCACACGAGTCCCACACAAACACATATGAAATAGAACACGAGCTCTTAATAATAACTGCTTTGATTGTCACAAAAACTTAAGATGTTTTCTCTGAATTTGAGGCCAGAACCCTCACTCAAACATTCAGCATGTTTCTCACGGTATAGAGATGCTGTTCAGGTCACTACTTACATTGTTTTTCTGCAAAACCCGCAGTGCCTTGTTGACATTATTCAGGGCATGAACTCTTGTGGATCCTTTTTCTTTTGGCTGAAAACAAAATAAAAAAACTGTTTACTGCACAGCAGAGAGACTA